CATAGAGTTTCGTTCTAACGTGTTTCTGTCCATGTGAGTTAAACTTCAACTTGTTTTTCTTGTTGCTCATTTCTCAGCTTTAGACTTTTTTGCGGTTCAGTTTCTCCGTCAGAAGCTTTTCCTGGATCAGCGTCATTTCATCTTTGCTCACAGTGAGAACTTAAATCTGTGTCGTGTGTGACTCGAATGTTGTTTCACTTATTTCAAAGTAATCCACCTGTAATCTGTCCTCACATTAATCTGCTTAGTGACGTGGTGCGGCGGAAACACGGAGCACGTTCAGAGAAGACTTCGGATTCACTGCAGAACACAAATAACTGCCAAAGACGGAGGAGACACCTGTGAAGGTGGACAGCGTCCGAGCAGCCGGGGGAGCAGCGATAATGTTGTTTCTAACGGACGAGGAGGAGAACACGTGTTCAACTGAGAGTGAGTCCGAACAACAACGAGGAAATATGACAGAGCATCACAAACACAGATGTTTATATGTGTGTGTGTGTGTGTTACCCACACTGCACCACCAGCTGGATCAGAGCTTCTCTTGGTTTCACGTTGAAGCCGTTGTACTGACTCGTCTGGCAGCGGTAAGTCCCGCTCATCTCTCTCGTCACGTTGCTGATCCTCAGGACGCCGTCGTAGCTCTCTGTCTGAGCCGAGCCGTCCGGCATCAGAGCCGCCGCCGCCGCTGCCGCCGCCCCGCTCTCCTCCATCCGAGACCACAGGATGATGGGTTTGGGTTTCCCTGAGACCAGACACTGCAGGTCCACTGTGTCGCCTTCCTGAGCGATGAGGTGAGAGCGCCCCCTGGGCACGGTCAGCTCTGGGGGAACTGCAGGCCAGAGAGTTTATGATTAGATGAGTTCATATTAACGTCCTCCTGCTCTTCACCGTTTATTCTCTAACTTCTCACGTCCAAACTTGAATGACCCGTCCTTCTGCTGCGGGGACGCTTCTCTACTTCCTGTGTGTTCATTCTCACTACGATCACAGGAAGACACAACACTGACGTCAAACCAGAGGACGACACCGTCTCACCTCCCGAGCAACACAGACACAGGCTGTCAACTCCCAAGGTGCATTGCACTCACAAACCTCCAATGGCACAGCTTCGTGTGGTGTGCTCTGTCAGAGGAGTCAGATCCTGTGAGAAGATCCAGTTGTGTTTTATTATGGTTGTGATTATACTCTGATTTTATTTTGAAATGTTGTCACAGGAAGTGAGTGGGCGGAGCGTTCATACTGTTTGGTTACCATGGTGATTTACTCTGATAACAAGGGAGCGAGCGTCGTAGAACTGGAAACTCTGAATTAAACCTGAAGTTAACCTGATGACCTCAAATCCTGCTTCATAGTTCAGACCCCAGGTTGTTCCTCAAAGCCCCGCCCACAGCGTGACGCACCTGTGGTGGATGAAATGTTGACATCGATGCTGATCTCGGGGACTCCTCCGTTCCTCAGCGAGGCCACGCAGGTGTAGGTGCCGAAGTCTGTGAACTTGAGGTCGATGATGTCGAGGTTGGTGGTTCCCAGTGAGACGTCGGTGTCGGTGTGCGTGATGACCATCCGCTCGGAGCTCTTCAGCGGTCGGCCGTTCTTCAGCCAGCTGAACTGCAGCTCCTCCGGCGGCGTGGCCTCCACCTGGCAGCTGATCTTTACCTCCCGGCCGATTTGGATGTTGTCGTCATTGTGGTACGGGTCCGGCGTGATCCAGAAGCGACCTTTACGAAGGCCTGTGGGAGACAGAATCAGATGAAGTAAGAAAGAACTAGAAGTTCTGCTCTGCTGCTGTTCGCCTCTTTTCCGTCTCAGTCATTTACACTTTGGCTCAAACCTGCTCAGCTCATCTTTGAGTCCAACTTAACGTCTGAAGCGAAGGTGAGAGGATTCCCTCGATCACGTTCATGACAACACGCAACCTGAAAATCAATCGGACAATTCTTCAGGTTGACGAAGCAAATAAAGATTTGTGACGTGAACCTGTCGTGAGTTTGAATCCTGCAGCAGAAGCTGTTTTAATTATTGCAGCTGCTCTTCCTGCTGTGGAGAAACTAATCTCTCTAAATGGAGCTTAATTATTACTGAAGCCATTTGTTCAGTTTAATCCTGTCAACAGCGATGATGCCGCCGCTGTTCCATCGTGCCGCCTTCTTCCACTATTTATTTAAACACCTAGTTTCCAGTGACTGGACTCGTCACACTGCAAACACCTCACTGACAGTCACAGACTCTACAAACAGCTTCACCATGAAACACCGACGACTGAATCTGTCACATGTCAACATTCTGACGAGTCCCCCGGCACCAGCACCGACACGAGCGTCTGCCATGATGCTCCGAGTTTGTTTAAAGTGACGACAGGTCCAAACAGAGCCACTCCTGAACCATCCCACCATCAAACCAACGTCCGAAAGAACCAAACCCATGAGCCCAGGTGCTAACATCGATATATAGACACATATAGATATATAGACACATATAGATATATAGACACATATAGATATATAGACACATATAGATATATAGACACATATAGATAT